ATATATGCAGTAATTTTCCACTTAATGCTCCCAGCTAATTGGCCACAGATGCACCTCACCTGTATAACCCATGCTACCCTGTTCAATTTGAGGGAAAACACTGGGGGATCCTCTAAGTCTCAGAACCACGGTGGAGATGTGGAGAACCGAGAATGAGAGGAACCTGAACCAGAGGGCAGCGTATTAGGGAGGGGGCAGAAACGATGTCATCGTAATGACACGTGTCCCCTTGCACTCCTCTGATATCTGTTATCTTGTTTGATAAATAAATGTGATCAATGTGTCTGTGTGAGGATCACACTCATCCAGGCCTAAACTGGTTATTCACGTACATATAGCTGCTCACGTGAGGGACGTCATGCTTCAGTGAACGTGGGGAGAATGTTTCGTGGGGCTGCTGCGCCCTCTTGCGGCAGGAAGTTGTCGTTATATTCAGGGTTTCCGTCTCCGGCAGACATATTGCTTACAGGAGCAAATTCTGGAAAAGCTAGAAGAGGGGAAAGGATTTAAAATTGATTCACATTTTCACGAATCGACATAAGCGAACTACCTAGGACACGATGGGTAAGATGTCCGATGAGTTGAGGGTTCAGACACACGCTGCGGGCAGACGGAGCCGTGTCGTCGCGAGGAACGATTATGAAGTCATCCTCTAACTGTTGTTTAGCTAGGTAGCTAAGTCGTTAGCTGGGCAGGTCGTTGCTACGTAGTAGCAGCATCATGTGTCGCTGTTTCACTTTAGTTTCCTCTCTGTGTTAACTCTCACCAGAGCAGTGTCTGTACCATGAGATGTTTAAGGTAAAGTGTCAAATTTAAACCCCGAGAGAACCAGTGCTATATGTTAGCTAACTTGAGGGAAACTTGGCTAACAAGCTAGCGTTAGCACGACGCTACACCACAATCTGTTCAGGGTGAGACTTACAGGAAGACACCCGATAGCTTAGATATAACGCGTTGGTCAGTTAAGTCGTAATATTAGTTTGATTATCAGCAACGGCAGCCGTATGTTCAGCTGTCACTTCATGACCCTGTCTTTACAACAGGGGTGTGGATGGTGGTGACGTTAGCTCGCTAGCTAGCTAGTGCTAATGCTCCGCCAGTGGTTTTAAACGTTGCGAGGCTGTTTGCCCTCCGATGACCTACACGATACAAAACATTAATTTAAAACCGCCTCTCTTAAAATGGCACTTTTATATTTGTTTGGACCGGACACAGATTCATGTGCGCAACGCGGCTAGTGCTAACGCTAGCTTAGCTGCGTTAGCGCTGTCATTTAGCCTCCACCACACCCGTAGAAGTACAACACAGAGTCAACAAAGTCAGGTCCTCTTCGTGATTATTGTTGTTTTGCTTATTTTAACCGTAAAGTGGAGATAACCGATCCGGTAAATTCAAAGGATGGGTTAAACACTCGCTCGCTTTAATGCGTGTGCAATAACAGAAATCTCTGACAGCCCATTCAGGAGCCTGCGCGTACATGTGACACCAGGGGTGCCGGTGTTTTCCAGACTATTCCCTCACATGATTAAGCTCGTTATTTCTTTCCGCAAGTGTCTGGATGACAGTGTTAAATACCCTGCTGCTTAAGTGTACCAGTCAAATAGACATATTTCATGTTGATCATTATAACGTGTGTGTGTATCAGGAGTCATGATCCTCCTTCAGCCTCCTCCAGCTGCTTTAACACCGGTAAAGTGTATTAGAGTTGAACTAATGGGCTCCATCAGACTAAATCCAAGCTTTAGGTTAGTTCACCAAATCCCACACGAGAATTTAAGCATATACGCTTTCAGATTTATTCGCACATGCAGGCATAGCTTTTGTGATTTCTGCCATCACACTGCAGCAGAGGGCTGTTCCATTCATGATGTTGCAGCCAACATCCGTGACTAAAACGACCGTGCGACTACTGTTCACCCTTAAACAGACAGGACTCCATCTATTGTTTGGCAACTTTATTATCCCTGGTGCTGTGTTTTTTTATAGTCGTCTTTCTCTCCCAGCAGCCAGGCTCAACACATCCATACAACGTCAACAGGGTGTAACATCTCTGCTGTAAAGGAGCAAAAGTTATTAAGTTCAAATATTCCTTGGTCGATACCATTGGGGTCTCGTCTGAAGTGCCAGTGTAGACACGTGTCTTCAGCAGGGCTATTTCTATGCCCAAAGAGTCAGTGCAGCAGCTAATGTAGCTAACGCTTTACAGTAACAGGAGTCTCCTACTGCAACCTGTGCTTGTTCTCATCCACGCCCTGTGGCTTTACCATCTGGACACATTACACACATGCATAAGCTTTTTTATAAGGTTGGTTTTGCTAGTGCCTTCGAGCCATAACATGCCCTCAATTTGCGCCACTTGTTCCGATATTTAACCTCAGAAACCTCCGCTGTTGCAATTGCAGGCTCTTGGCACAGATGGTTGGCACCGTTCTGTGCTGGTGGCAGTTTTTTAAATTATGTTCCCACCTCTCTTTCTCTCTCGTTGCCCCCGGGTGACTCAGGGATCTGCCCAGTGCCCTGTTCTGGTGGCATGACTGCACAAATACTGAGAATGGGCAGTTTGTCCTGTGTGGGCACTACTTTATGCTAACTCTGCAATTTAACTCTACTGAATAAATACATTTGTTCTCCCCGCCAGCTGACTGGATGATGAATAGCTTAGCTATGTGTGTTTGCGTGCATGTGTGTATTATTAGGCTGTGTTGTCTAGTTTCTGTGAGCTTGTTTATACAAGGCCGTTTTATATATAGACCTGTGTACACGCTGTTTCGTCATCATGATTTATTATTAGATATGTCAGAGGAAACAAATGACAAGTTCAGCAGCTATTCCGTACACATGGTCTTCTTAACTTCAGCTTTAAGTAAATTCTGAATAACTTAGTTTCCTGGTTGTGTCTTAATCATGATGTTTACCTGTGTCTGTGCCCATCAGAGCCGTCAGCTAGTCCGGCCAAGGATAACTACAGGATGAACCGCTATAAGAACAAAGCACTGAACCCAGAGGAGATGAGGCGCCGGAGAGAGGAAGAGGGCATCCAACTCAGAAAACAGAAACGAGAACAACAGGTATACATCAAACCTATATATCCCTTTATCTTTCTGTTTCATTATTTAACAATGCAATGTATATACATAGAACTAGTCTGGGCTGACACTGTCTTTGTCGGCTATAACAGATTTTCAAGAGGAGGAACGTGGACATTGTCAATGAAGAAGAGGCCATGTTTGAAAGTCCACTGGTGGACTCCTACCTCAGCTCTCCAGTAACAGTGAGTGTCTATTGTCCCCATACCACTCTCATTGACTCACAACCTAGACAAAGAGAGGCCCACACAGGACCCGTCAAAGGTTTATTTTACATTGGATTTCAGTTTTGCCAAAGAGTCTGCAGTGAGTGGATTAAGTGTGTGTGTGTGTGTGCGTGTGTTTTCCAGGAGGGAGTAATTACCAGAGACATGGTTGAGATGCTTTTCTCAGAGGACCCAGAGCTTCAGCTCGCCACAACACAGAAGTTCAGAAAACTTCTTTCCAAAGGTACATACTGCACAATTACATTAGATCTATATGACTGTTGGTCCAGAGTTTGGCCACTATTGGACTTTTGGGGCTGAGGACAATATTGATTCAGGGATTAAATAATTCAGATATCAATCTCTCTGCAGACACTTTTCATAAATGTGTTGAAATGGGAAAACAATGTTGTTGTTTACTTTTCAGCAATGACTTACACACTAGTTTAAAACTTGGGTGAAGGCATTGCTCCCTTCTCCACTACCATCTGTTCTGATGTGAACTCTGCTGATTGAGTGTTGTAAAGGCACATTTTTTTCCATATTATGTCCTGTATATTTTTTCATATTGACACATACTGAACAACATATGTGCCATTATTGATGCATCTGTGATAGGCCAACATTTGGTCTAGAAAACCGGCACCGCAGATCAAAATTCTTACATGCAGTTTTATTTTTGTTAATTTCAGAGCCAAATCCACCAATTGATGAAGTTATAAACACACCTGGAGTAGTTGAGAGGTTTGTGGAGTTCCTAAAGAAGAGTGTCAACTGCACATTACAGGTCAGTTTGTACAAACACTCTCTGAAACATTGTGAACACCTTCTGTGTGTATGACGTGTTCAAACTGAACTAGATAAATGTGAAGTATGCTAACATATACCATTTTAGGTGCTTTCTTTTTGTGAAAACTACAACTTTCTTTTTTTTTTCTTGTTTACACCCAGGGCATAAGTTGTGTTATGTCGTTTTTAGCTTATTCTGAGTTTCATCCCGTTTAGGTTAAAGTAATCTAGAAATTGCTGTTTACTTGCCAATGTCGTATTATATTGGATCAATATCTAAACTAAGTAACTGGAAGTGTAACGTGCTACATGAGGTGCTGTCCTCAAACATTCATCATATTCAATATCATATTCATTCCACTTGGTGATACTGAGCTAAGATTTGGCTACTGCAGGCCACATCTGGAAACACTCATAGAAATGCATTTACTCTGTATTAAACAGGTCCCTGTTTGACTTTGCATTTTCGTCACGCTGCATAAAACAGTCAGAAGTAAACTCTTATCATCCAGTGCCTTCATGACTCATTAATGTAAAAATGATTAAAATGTGAAAGGTTATTTTTGCCTAATAAAGCACATGTTAACTCTCCATCGTAATATTTGGTTCCAATGCAGTTTGAAGCAGCCTGGGCACTTACCAACATAGCATCAGGCACATCCTTACAGACGAAGACGGTGATTGAGGCCGGAGCAGTGCCAATCTTCATAGAACTACTCAACTCAGATTTTGAGGATGTCCAAGAACAGGTAACAAACGGTGTGACTGGAATAGTGTGTTACATTGTGTGTCTGTTTTGTCTTGCATTGTTCCATACTTGTGTATCCACCGTCCAATGTTTCTTTTTCTGCAGGCTGTGTGGGCCTTAGGTAATATTGCAGGGGACAGTGCAGTCTGCAGGGACTATGTGCTGAACTGTAACATCCTTCCACCACTGTTAATGTGAGTTCAGACTTCTCTTTGCTTATTTCAGCTTTTCTACCTATAATAAATTGCTGATATGATCAGTGTGTACTGAGCTTTTCTTTTCTTTGTCATTTCAGGCTTCTGACCAAATCCACAAGATTGACAATGACAAGGAATGCGGTCTGGGCTCTGTCTAATCTCTGCAGAGGAAAAAACCCTCCCCCTGCTTTTGAAAAGGTACCATTTCACGTAACCTTGAAGTTTGAAAGTTAACACGTCTGTTTTCAGCCCTTAATTCAGCTCAGTCTCTGTGATAATATTTACATTGGAGCCTGAGACTGATGACACAGATGGTGCACGGAAAGTATTGTGACTTCATATTATATATTTTCCAAAGTTTTCTTCTTTTAGGAAACTTAACTTATCGTCAATCTGTTAACCCATTAAGATTCTAAAACCTCAACATAGATTGAAAACAACCTGCTATCGACTGTTTTCAATAAAACCTTTATTTCTGAAGCAGATGCAAAATTGAAATAACCTTTTCCAACTTGCAGGATTAAGCTCTCAAATGATTTATAGTTCATGTTCCTAGCTGCTTCAGTGCTGCTTCCTTACATGCCCCTGTAACAGTGTTGCATCATCCAGCCATTCAGACTTTTGTCTACAAGTTAAGCTGTACTTGTCAAAATCCTATTCCCATAATGCATTTCCCCTTCCTGCTGTAAATTTCAGCGAATCAGTGTCCTATCTGGCTTCTAAGTAAGAAGCACACAGACGTCGCACCCGGTCTTAAAGGGGAAAACAGTCATGTGTTGCATCTGGAATTAATGTCTTAAAATAGTCTGGTTAACTCTGGTTGACAGATACAGAGGTGACTGCTATATACTCCTAATGTTGCCCAACCAGTCAGTCAGTTATAATAACTGTTTTTATACATTAAATCACTCCACTGTGAATGAGTTTCTTTTTTAATAAGTATAAAAAAAAAGTTTCTAAAAAATCAGGTACATGCTGACATTTTGCTGGGATTTTCTTTTTTGTCTAAATGTCTTGAAACTCAAGCTGAATCTTTAGTTTATATAATCAATTAATAATGGTCATATGTATGACAGGACTACAACAATTGTCTGACTCAGTGGGTCATTATCACGTTGTAAAACTCCCTCCTCCCAGTTCATATATTTGTGACCTTGAAGAAATCAGATGCTGCCCAACTGCTTTTCCTCTCAACTACCAATCTATTGAAAATCCACATCCACGAATCACAGTTTCTGAATTCATGTTGCTTCTCATCACTAATAATTTTGCCTGACGATGTCTGGGCTGTATAGGTGTCACCCTGTCTGCCAGTACTGTCCAGGCTTTTATTTAGCAGTGACCCAGACTTGCTGGCAGACGCCTGCTGGGCACTTTCCTACCTCTCAGACGGCCCCAATGATAAGATCCAGGCCGTCATCGACTCTGGCGTCTGCAGGCGTCTTGTAGAACTACTCATGTAAGTCCAGCTGTGCTCTCTGGCATCTTTGTCACCATGAATATTCCCGTAAATACTTAAAATTCTCTAACAGTCCCCTCTTTCTGCAGGCACACTGACTATAAAGTGGCCTCCCCTGCCTTGAGAGCTGTAGGAAACATTGTCACTGGAGATGATATCCAAACACAGGTGAGAGTATAGTACAACTTTGTAAGAAAAAAGTAATTTAACACAAGAACAATGCATTTTCATAGATTGCTTATAATGTTTTTACCCTCCGTGTTGTGTGTAGGTGGTGTTGAACTGCTCAGCCCTGCCCTGTCTGCTGCACCTTCTCAGCAGTGCGAAAGAGTCTATTCGCAAAGAGGCATGCTGGACCATCTCCAACATAACCGCAGGAAACAGAGCGCAGATACAGGTGATGCATTGTCACTAAGCTGAGAACTGAAATGGGAACAACCTGCTAAGAAATCCTGAACACGAGTCGTATCTGATACAAACTTTATATTATTCCACATGATAAAATTGCAAATGGTTTCAGACATTTGAAATCTATCGCCAGTCGACCCGGTAACCAATGTGATTATATGTGTTAGATAGACAGTTTTTTAATTCTGTTCAAGTATTAACAGAACTCTAAAGACCACATATATCACATTGGTTTTGAGACTTGTTTTAGATAGATACAGTCTATAGAGACTGATGGGTCCATCTATCCATTCATCATGGCTCTGTTGGATCCCAATTTACTTCTGTGAAGCTTGAAAAAGGTATGCTATGCTTTCTGCTACTTCCCTCTCACTTCCTATCTTATTGTTTCTCACAGACGGTAATTGATGCCAACATCTTCCCAGTGCTGATAGACATTCTACAGAAAGCCGAGTTCAGAACCAGGAAAGAGGCGGCATGGGCCATCACCAACGCCACCTCTGGAGGAACACCAGAGCAGATCAGGTGAGCTTTACAGTAAATACACGACTGTGCACGACAGTATCTCCTAATGATAACATTGTGTTCAGCTCATGTCTTTCCTTTGCTAAATAATGTCAATACCAGATCTGTTGGATTAACTCCACGTCCCTCATCAGTAGAAGGTGTTTCACGGTCAAGGTGCAATCACATATCGTGTGTTTGTTGGAAAAGGCTTTAAGACCATGTGTAATCAAAAACCTGATCTTACATTTGACCTGTGTTATACATCCATTCCTATATTAGCACACATCCCTTAACCAGACAGTTCTTGTGGTTAATCATGGCCAGATGTGTTTTTGCAGAACATTATGGTGACAGTGAAATTGTTGAAAACGTGTCAACACTTAAGTCGTTAATGTATCTGTTCAAAAACAGGTACCTGGTGAACCTGGGCTGCATTAAGCCGCTGTGTGATCTGCTGACAGTGATGGACTCTAAGATCGTTCAGGTGGCTCTCAATGGGCTGGAGAACATCCTGAGGCTGGGAGAGCAAGAAGCCAAGCAGGAGAACAGTGGCACCGGAGTCAACCCTTACTGCAGCCTCATTGAAGAAGCCTACGGTACTGTCCACAAATCACATCCAAACACATGCACGAGCAAAAGCTTTTGATTAAGAGATATTTCGATAGTTTTGACTGTTCTCAAACTGATACTTTTGTTTGTTGAATTAGAGTTACGTTTTTGATGATAACTTTGAAATCACACGCTCGATTTAACTTTGTTCAACTTCGCAGGTCTGGACAAGATCGAGTTCCTTCAGAGCCACGACAATCAGGAGATCTACCAGAAGGCCTTTGACCTGATTGAGCACTATTTCGGGGTGGAGGACGAGGACAGCAGTCTTGCCCCTCAGGTGGACCAGGCCAACCAGCAGTTCCTTTTCCCCCAGCAGGAGGCCCCCATGGAGGGCTTTCAGCTATAAATAAGCACCCCTCTCCTCTAAGATACACCTTATACCCCCTCCATACCTCTCGGCCTCATTGAGGACCCATTGATTGAGTTCTGTCTCCAAGCCTCCTTCCCTTATCTGTCAATACCCGCCTCCACCTACACTGTCCTCTCAAACACACATGTAAACACACCCCTGCCCCTTGGAGGAAAACATGTTCCGTCTCACTCTCCAGCCTAAATATGTCCCCCACTCATCAAGCAGCGGACTGACTTCTTCTCAATGGGTAGACTCGCATGTTTCCCAACCAATTGGGGAAGCACACCATTCAAGCTCCATTACACTTAGATGAGGAAGCGATCACCTCATTGCCTAAAGTGTGAGTCTGCCCTGGCTTAAAGCGCACACACAGACATCTTCCTGCCATTTGATAGCTCTTAGATCCTCTCATTGGCAGCAACAAAGGCTTGTTGATTCATATCTTTATATACAATTAAAAAAAAAAAAATGTTTCCAGTGGGACATTGCTATTTTCAGGACGACCCTTGTATCCTCATGCAAAGTCTGCAAACTGGGGGTGCATGAGGTGAAATACGCCCAGCTAATGATGTCAGTCTGACTTAGTGCAATTATAAAAGTACTTGTAAGATCCCTTTTCAGTTTGATGATTAATTACCCGCCCCCCCCCAACCATTATTTATGTGCTTCTTATTAGTGCTTGTGATTCTTTTTCCTAATACTGGTCTCTGCATATCTGCAAATGGGAAAAAGAATCATATCTGTACGGGGGTGGGTGGTTTTTTTCATTTTATGGGAGGAGAGGTTTGTCCACGCCAAATTAAGGGCTGTCTGTCTGATGCCCAAGCTAAACAATTTGGGTGTTTTTTTTCCTCCCTTGTTTATCACTTTTTCTTCAAATAGGATAAATTTGTGGGGGTTTTGGTTTGAGCTGAGGGAACAAATTTAAGAATTTAGACATATCTATCCCTGGGGGGGCTCTGAAGAGGATATTAGAAGGGGAAATGGGGTTATTTCTTAAGATATGTTAAAAAAAAAATCCAGGTTTCAAGGGTGGTATAGTTAGAGATCCGATGTTCGTTGTGTGCTGTGTTATTAATAACAATACATTTGAATTATGAAGTGATTTAACTATTAATCAAGGCATAGCTGGGGTGTCAGGGGGACGAGCCAGCGGCGGCAACAACAACAACAGCAGCAGCAGCAGCAGCAAACCATACTTATTTTTATATTTAAATAAAATCAAGGGATTGCAGATGTTTAAAGTAGAGTGACAGAGATGTCACAGAAATTTAAGATGACTTGTTTTTCGTCTCGACTCTCTGACTCTGTTGAAGCCCCAGCGTGAAGTGGCGGCTGCCCGTCGGCTTGGCTCTGTGCTCCCCCTCCCTCCCCAGTAGTATGTGGTAGGGTTTTTGCATGGTGTTATATTACCCTGCCTACAGTCGCTGAGTATCCCTGGCCAAACACAGACAGTTGTCACAGAGAGATGAAGAACAGTGTGAGCAAACACTGTGAGACTTAGCTGTACACTGCTCAGCATTCCTCGTCGACGGCGTTTGCAACTAAAAAGTGGGAACCGGTCCACAACTAATTGGTTTGGTGGTGTTAATAGTGATAGTGTAGTGACGGTGGTGGTGTTTCTTATAGCCGTAGAGTCGATACGTAACCTATGGCGTTCTATATCACCATATTTTTGAGGAATGGGAATGACAACTGATAAGATAATGATTTTGCATGGGTCCTTTGTGATATGTATAAGGTGTTGATGTAAATAGCCTGTCCTCTGCCTGGCTAGGAAAGTCTATGCCGCTTCTTTGTCCCATCATGGATGTAACAACAAGCAGAGTTTGGCTGGGGATATATCGCAGATCAGTGACGAGCCTAACTGCAACAAAAAAACAAATTCAAGTATATCTATATATTTGAATTTTGATGTATTTGCATTATATATATACATATATATTTGCGCACACTTCATGTACACTTGCATACAACACCAGCAGACACTGTACACACACACACACACACCTCACACAGATGAGTGGCTAGGAACAAGGTAAATAGTTTCCATAAGGATTATTATCATTTTTTATGTTGAATTTTCTCCAAAGGGTGAGATCTGCCATTTTGGCTTTTTTTCAGAGCACACATTTTCTTTATGTTTCAATAGAAGTTTTTCTTGGTTTCAGTTTGAATTTAAATTGAGATTGTTTTCAGTTTTAATCGAGACAACGAACAGAGAGGTTTCGGTGCACACATGCTGTGAAGTCTCATGGAAACTCTTTCGTTGCTTCTAGCCACACGACTAATGATGGTTTAAATCAGTCCTGTAAACTCTGACCTGAGATCAGCGTGGCCTCTGAAAGAAGCCGATCTCAGGTCAGAGTTTTAGGCTTTGTGGATGGAGCAGAACTGTGGTTGTGTGATGTTTGACTGACAGGCACTGTGTGAGGAAGAGGTAGAGTAACTCTTTGACTATGTCCCCATCAGAGTCTGGGAGCCTCTGTTCTGTGGATCACAGGAGACATTTTATCATGGAGCTATCAACACACTTACTTATGATCTTTTTTGTTCCAAAGGACGTCCCCTTCTTTGGTAGAGCCTCCTTTTTGGATGCACCGTCTTATCTTTTCCCCTTGGTCTGTTTCGGTATTATATTTTTACAGTTTCCCTTGTCATTGCAGAATATCAGAGTGTCATAGTGCGGCTGTTAGGCACAGTGGTTCACTGACCACAGAGGATCATACGTTTGAGTGTCTGATTTAGCTTTTTGAGTAAAAATGTCGTCCACAGAACATGTGTACTCCCAGCAGACATAAGAGGTCAAATCATGTATAATTGAGCATCAAGAACATGCCTCTACATGACGGATATGTGGAGCAGCATTGATAACTGAAGTCTTCGATTTCATGGACAGTTTTGTGCTCATCTTACGAGCAACGCCAGAATCGAGATGTTTCAACAACAAAAAAAGAAAAAATCAGTGCATCAATCAGGAAAAATATATTATATTTCTGAAAAATGAAAATGCACTCCTATTCACAAAAGTGCCAACCTGACCAACAAAGACTGGAGGTTCTTATGTATCTGTCTTTGACTTATAGATTTATTTTCCTTTATATCTTTTATTTACTTGAATGTGCACACATTTTGTGCAAAACATTGCTGCTCTATTTTTCCTTATCTTTAAAGTTACATTATTAGCCATAGTTTCTTTGGGAAAGTGGCTTTCTTTACTGTGGGCACCTAAAAAACAAACAAAAAAAAGCGATTAAGGAAGTGTAATTGTCAAGCTGAGGGGGGGCAAGGACTTGAGATGGTTTCCATGCTAAACGTCTTCAAAAGAGTTTCACTTGGAATTGATCAATTGATTTCCTGTGGCGGAATCAGTAGAGTATAATATTTAACATTTTCTTTAAATCGCCGCTTGCAGCCACTCCCTCTTTGTGCTAAGAGAAAGTCTGCGCTGACAGAATTATTGTAGAACTTCAGTGTGGCCCGTGATACAAATTGTGGAAATGAAAACAATCATCATAGCAGACAGATGCAGGTACTGCCCTTATTGTCGAACTTAGTTTACCAAAGTCTTGTCCCCCTGAAGACTGGTTTAAATTATTTACTTGATGTTTTTGTTTTCAGTAGTTGGTGTGATTGGCTTGTGTTGACCCAGTCAGTCTGACTGAGAGATTGCTCCAGGCCATTGAAAACTTGCTTCTTTTCATTAGAAGCTGCATGAGCTCAGTCCCACTTTTCTCGCTTTTCTTTTTCTCTCAAGTCCAAGTACTGTTTAGGGAGCCAGAAAATTCTGCAACAAATAATCCAGACGACTGCAATAATTATTGTCTGAGAATCCGGCGCCCCAGAGGCAAAGATCCACCTCCAAACTGTTCACATAGGTGACACTCCTTCCACTGGGTGGAGCTAAAAGAGGCGACTACTTGACATTTTTCTAAGATAAAATCTGGGATTCAGAAATTGTGCAGTGATTTACATTAAAAAGTATTATAAGTTAAACTATATGTATGTTCTGATACATTGACAGGGATTCAGATGCAATTCTAATCACTTCTGAGAAGTGGAGAAAAAAAAAGTCTCATTAGAACATTTCACAGGAGAAAAAAAATAGGAAGTGAGGATACAAGCCTTTCTGCGTTTCTTGATCTTTTTCTTGATCAGGATATTCTGGGCTATATTTTTGAATAATTGTGTTTAGAGTAAAAGTTTGTCCTTGTCAGGCTGCATGATCAGGAACCTTGTTGTCTATGGGGGATTGAACAGACATCACTAAATATCTCAAACCTGACTTGTCTTCCGTCCTAGAAGGTGTTCATGTCTACATTAAAATCTAAAGCCATGCTTGGCTTGTTCAAGTAATGTCTACGCTACAAATGTTTACAATGCTGCATGTTTGTTAAAAAAAAGAAAAAAATACTTTTCATATGCCATCACTGACCAGTCCTGGTGTAGCCACGGCTCTGGTCCTCTCATTTCTTTTACATGTATTTATTTTCTCTTTTCTTGTTTATGATTTTTCATTTTGCTCAAAATTACCCATCTTATACTGTGACTTGACTTGACTTTACCGACGGTATGAATGAGTGACGAGAAACTAATACACTTCAGCTGAACATGACACACAAACATGAACATGGAAAAAAGAATACATACAGGAAATGGCAACAATATTAAAAAATGTAAAGAAAATATATTGAAATTAAAATTGTTCAGTGGAAATACTGTACAAAACAAATAAAGTTATGTTTCAACCCTTTAATACGTTCCCTCTTTTATTACAGGCATGCTAGGATTTGCTATGGTTGTGATTTGTGTGTGAAACTAAGGGTGAAAACAGCAAGTGGCTAAATATAACTCTTTAATTCTTTGCCTCTCCAACTCTTAATTCTTTCTGGAAAGAGGTGTGGTAAACCCTAATGTATATATTCAATTTAGGAACCTTTGAAATTAGATTAATTCGTTTTGGGGGGCATTTAGCTGCTTGGTAAAACGAAATCAGCAGACATGCATATATATACTGAGAGTGACTTCCATGAAGCAAGTGACAAGGAAAAAATTCATGGAACATGTTTTGCACATGAATGTAATCAAATTTACCCTAAAGAAAGACTTGGTAAAATAGCAATCTACTTTAATTCAGTCAATAATGTGCAAAAACCAAGTAAACAGGTTGTGTTCATTTAATGGGGAAACCATTTTCATTACTTTACACAAATAGGAAATATTGGACAATCACTTTCCATGAATTTACAAGAGCCGTCTGTCAATGCACGTTTTCTCCTAATGGAGTTTTTTTCAAATTACCACCTCATATAATTCAGCAGCATTTAATTGAAATAAATATTTCTTGTTGTTTCACATAATCGTTACTAAGTGAGAGGAGACGGAAACACAAGAGTTACTAGCGGTAGTAAATTCACATATATTTTTACAAAAACACTATCAAGACAATTCACATGACACAGTGGGGGAACGGATCTAAAATAAAATATCTAGTTTTGAAGTGTATGTAATAAATAATAGTTGCAAATGAAGTATTTTCACTTTTAAAGGATAAATAACAAAAACTCAGTCAATACTATTTATATGAAATTGTTAATTGGGAAATATCTAAATATTTCCTAATTATTTCTATTTGTTGGGAAATATCTAAAACACGATATCTAGTTTTGATTTATTATAAGCCTTGTTTTTATATTACAAATATAAATGTACCTGCATGCTGCTGTAGTGGCTGCTTTTAGTTTTTTTAATAAAACATATAGGTAGTAATTCATCAATCCAGCAGGTGGCGGCAGAACACCGAGCTGCGATGATAACTGCAGAAGAAGAAGTACCCAAAGTTATGACCGGAAGTGTTTTTCTGCCTCACGCTGTTAAGGAAACCCGCAGATCACAGACACATTAGCTGCTTCCTCCCGGAGTCTACTGGTTCACAAGTCTCTCACGTCTGGGGCGGCGGGATATCATCCAGAAACAAGTACGTGCACAGTCCATCCGTGTCTGAGGATATTTATTTCACCTACGTGTGAGCTAACTCTGGCTAACTGCTAGTCGAGCTGTTCCAGCTGCATCTGGCGGCAAGCTAGCGTTAGCATGTGCTAGCTAACATGATGGTAGCAAGTGGAAAAGGGAAAGCTAGAAGAGGGTGGGCTGGATGTAGGTGAACTCTGCGATGAGGCGTGTGACACCACGTTCAGAACCAGTGTTACTGCCGCATGTGCGGGATGTGCAACGAGGAGGAAAGCTAGCCCGGTTTGAAGTGAGAGGATGTCAGGGAACTTAGCTTTGATTGTGGCAGTTGAGGATTTCTGCACAAATGATCAAATACACACAAGAAGAACTGGGAATCGTGGCTCCTTACACCAAAGTGACACATCACTGTTTACACCTGAGGTTCACGTTCGTTCCATTGTCAGGCTGTCACCTCTCAGCTGAGCCTGTAATGAGCCCAGAGAGGAGAAACATGGATATGATCAGGGCTGAGCAATAACACAATGTCCATGATGAGTACAATCATTGTCATCAATAGCAATATAACAAAGGTTGTGTATATAAATACATAAATATATGTCACATTAATGAGAATAGACAGCATCTAATATAAATTGAGAGGTGTTTTAATATTTAATGTATTTATACAAAAGGAAATGAATGTACGGCAGAGATGAAGGGAGCAGTGTTGGTAATTGTAATGATAGAGTGATTGTCATAGTTTTATATGTTGACAGGCTCATTGTATATCTTACCAGTCCAGTTGTAATCACAATACTTGATCAGATGCCATCAGGTTCCACAATGTGGCCTCAACCACACAAGATGATCTCGTCATTTGTTGCAGCCATATTGTTGATAATAATGTCAGCTGATGAAATATTGTATCATGATATAATTATGGGCATTTTCATCCAGCCCAGTTTCATAATTTGCAGGGATTTCAAATGCACTGAAACTGCTACTTCAAGCCCCACTACATGTATTTTAAAGAATAACTCTTCAAGTCCTTGCTGGTGAGCCTAGTATCACAGTGTGTGTTTTTCCCCCACCTGTTTTCCACAGTAAACCAGAGATGAAAAAACAAGACAGTGATGAGTCTGTCACTCAGGGGGGTGAGGATTCTCCACCCACAGCTGGAGGGACGGAATCACCCACAGTTGCAAAAGACAGCTCAGACAGCATCAGCCCCAAAGACTCAGAACCAGAGACGCCACAGACTGACACGCCTCCGCAAGCTGAAGAGGCGGCAAGTGAAGGTAAAGTTCTTCTTGTTATCAATGTGTGTTGTTGACACAACTTTCTCAGTGTCTCAGTTACATCAGAACAGTTTGTGATGTGATGGAAGCGGATGTAACTGACTGTCACTGCTGTGGTCAAATCCAGAAAGGGTATATTGTTGTCAATTAATTAGTAATGGGACACTATCTGTATTACACATTGAAGATGGTCATTTAAATATGCTGTGTATTAGCACCAATAATTACCTTTGGTTAAGAGGCTTAGACAAACTTTAAAAAGTCATAATAGTGAAGGTTGTGGGGGGGTTCATGGTTTCACTTTTATCTTAAGAGATTCAGGTTGTTGTTGAAGAATGTATTTTACAAACACATTTTGATTTATGGTTTTTCCCTCCATTGTGTGTAGTTGCAGAACCAGCACGCTCTCGTAGTGACATGGCCGAGGAGCTGAGCCGGCAGCTGGAAGACATCCTCAGCACCTACTGCAGAGATGCCAACGCTCTGCCTAACGGCCAATCACACAGTCCACAGCTCAACGGTCTGGCTGGCGAGAGGGAAGACGACAAGGCAGAGGAGGGCAAAGTCAACGGGGGTCACGGTGGGACGGAGAAGGAGCAGAAGAAGACTCAGGAGAAGAAGAAAGTGAAGGGTCTGGGTGAGGAGAAGCTCACAGTTTGCATTCAAAACTCATGAGAGTCATATAAATATAAAGTAAACACTAGTTGTGTTCTGTTTTCTCACAGGCTCTGTGACTCTGATCTCTTTGTTTGTCTGTGCAGGTAAAGAGATCACCCTCCTCATGCAGACTCTGAACACACTGAGCACACCAGAGGAAAAGCTGGCAGGCCTCTGTAAGAAGTATGCAGAACTGGTGAGAGCAGCCTCCGAAAACTACACTACACTAGAGTCTAATATTCTGTTTTTAAATGGACTAATTTTGCCAGTGTGCAAATATATCATTCTCATCAGATTGTAAATCTAAACTTTGCATGTCTGATTAAAAATGACTCTTGAGAAACAGTTTTTCTTTTCATTTAAATCATTATTTAGGACAATTAATTTGATGTTGAATAATCTTTACATTTTTACTCTCGCTGAAATCATCAAATAGCGAGGTTGTCCAAATACACAATTTACATGGTAATGTCACTTTCTATTCCACCTCTTTTACATCAAAATTAGCCAGTATTTTCAGATGTTTGGTAAACCTGAGTGAGGTTTCAGTTTTTTTCCCTGCTGAGTCATATTCACCGTCATCGTGCCGGAAACTAAAAAGCTCTCTTACCTGTGTTTTGTGTTTGACAGCTGGAAGAGCACCGCAACACCCAGAAACAGATGAGAGTGCTGCAGAAGAAGCAGAACCAGGTGGTCCAGGACAAAGACAACCTGAGGAACGAACACAGCAAGGCCATCCTGGCCCGCAGCAAACTGGAGAGTCTGTGCAGGGAGCTGCAGAGACACAACCGCACACTTAAGGTACACAACACACACCAGTGTGGTGAATATAGACTCTTAACTGCTCTTCCTGCTGCCACAGTATCTTTGCAGACTGGCTTCTTTATATTCATCAGTTTATTTAAATGTGATCTTTGATAGATACCACTTGCTGAATTATACACGACAACAAATTAGTATGCAATAAAGTGTGCATCACCCATCTGTGCATTGATCAGCACATCACTTCATGCTGTGTTCCTATTGGTTGATTGGTAGTAATAGGTTGTGAGATGGTCATCCTAACTTCCTGACTCTGTCGAGGTTTTCCTTCCTGACAACAGGAGGTTGAACTGAAATCTGGTGCAAATCAGGCACCTTGTAGAGGGAGCAACACTACAAACGAGCTGGGAGTTTTTTCTGTATTAAGCACTGAAACCGTTACCTAGTGTTTAATTAGTGTTGATGGGTTAGGTTTTATTTATAATGTGACAATATACATTTGTTTGGAGTTTTACACTTATTTATATTTGTTAAGTTGATTATACTTAAAACTGTTCAAAGTTCAATTAATTTCATGTCTAATTACTTTGGCAGTAAAGAAAAACAGTTTTTATCATTGGCCATCGTTTCTGTTACAGTTTAGGAAACAAAACCAGTTTGAAAATATCTATTTAGCATCTGTATTAAGAAAAAACAAAAGACACCATGTCCTCTTGCTACAACACAGGTCAGTATACCACAGTGTCACAAGCATGTGTCACCCTTGTGTGCCACTATTTGTGCATTGATCATCACTTCTGGCTGCATTCCCATTGGTTGATTGTTAGACTTCATGTGTAGGAGCAGTCATGTCTAGTCTGTGAAGGCCCAAAATTGCACTGTGTATAAAAAATTCAAAAACTATGAACCGACCAAATCTCTCTTTTTCAGATTCTGATTCTGAGGTTGAAGTTGAAGTGTGCGACCCAGTATGATTGTTCTTTTCACAAATACCACGTTCCACGTCTCTCCCTCTGCAGGAGGAAGGGGTGCAAAGAACGCGTGTGGAGGAGGAGAAAAGGAAGGAAGTGACCTCTCACTTCCAGGTGACGCTGAACGACATCCAGTCTCAGATGGAGCAGCACAACGAAAGAAACGCCAGCCTCCGACAGGAGAACACTGAGCTCGCTGAGAAACTGAAGAAGCTGTATGAACAGTACAAACTGCGGGAGGAGGTGAGTGTGCAGTGTGGGAGCTCTCTTTATTTTCAGCCTGCAGGTTGAATGTGGTCTAACACTCATGTCCATTTACTACATTCTGCCCAGTGAAGCATGCATTCTAATCTCTCTGACCTTGTGTTACCCTCATCAGCACATAGACAAAGTGGTGAAGCACAAAGACCTGCAGCAGCAGCTGGTGGACGCCAAACTGCACCAGGCTCAGGAGCTGCTGAAGGAGTCAGAGGAGCGCCACGACAGAGAGAAAGACTTTGTAATGATCCACTTCACAGCAACACAACATAATTACAGAGATGTGGTTTAGTCCTGATTTTATGCACAAATAATAACCGTCGTATCTGGTGCCTCAACCACAGCTGCTGAAAGAAGCCGTGGAGTCTCAGAGGATGTGTGAGCTGATGAAGCAGCAGGAAGTTCACCTCAAACAACAGGTTTCCCACAAGTCCTTATTCTTTTATAGCTGCACTGGGATTGACTTCACATTGAAAGTGTGTCTGTTGCATGAAGTGTCTTTTTTTACAGTCAAATTTGTGTTGTTTTCCAGCTGTCGCTGTACACAGAGAAGTTTGAAGAGTTCCAGACAACTTTGTCCAAGAGCAATGAGGTCTTCACCACTTTCAAACAGGAGATGGAGAAGGTGAGGTGTCAGAGGGACGGAGAGAAAGTGAGATGGAAGGATTGTGGGTTTTTTGCCCCAGGATGTGATGTTCTTGCTTCCTTTGTGTTGCAGATGACTAAAAAGATCAAGAAGCTGGAGAAGGAGACGGCCATGTATCGATCCAGGTGGGAGAGCAGCAACAAGGCTCTCCTGGAGATGGCGGAGGAGGTAAAGCAGCTTTGCTTTTATTGCATTTACTACTCCAGAGCTCTTGTCGCCTGTTTATTCCAAGTTTATTGATTTCCAAATCGCACTAAATTCGACAGTGCGCTTTCTTGGGCCCTTAACAATACATATGCCAAGTGTGAAGCTGATAAGATAAATGATTCGCAGGATATGCGAACCACAGACGTACAGAAACGTGGAATTAGATGGATTTACAGAGCTTTTCCTTATTGCTGTTAAAATACTTTGATAATTGCTAACATTTTTTTCTGCTCTTCTTTCAGTAAAAGCTCTTGTTTTTGATTTAAACTTAGTTTGAATATTAGTTGTACAGATTTTAATGAAAGTGTGTTTCAGAAAGTAAAAAAACTACCTTGAGTCTGAATGTTTAATTTGCCTAATATATATGATTTGATTGTGACAGGGAATATTATTATAAAAGTTTTGAAAATAGTGCAAATAAATATATTACAAAAAGCATAAAAAGGCATAATTTGTGTTTGTCTACAGAAATCTGTGCGGGACCGGGAGTTCGAGGCTCTTCAGGGTAAAGTCCAGCGGCTGGAGAAGCTGCGGCGGGCGCTCAAAGTCGAACGGAACGAGCTCAACAAGAAGGTCCAGAACCTGAGCGGTCAGCAAGGTGGCACCACAGGAACCCCCACCTCTGACCCAGGGACTGACTCCCCTTCTCCACCACCCACAGACTCTCTGCTGGAGCCCAGCGCCTGTCTTGTCCCAGAAACCGCCCCCTGCTCCCACTTATGCCATTGTGATCCAGAACCGGACACAGACCCGATCCTGGAGGAGGCGAGCGCTCAGCCCGTCAGCACGCAGGAATGAAGCAAAGCTGCTCACACGCCTCCTCTCTCCCCTTTCCTGCAACAAGCCACCAAAAGATAAGCCACCAGCCTGCAAGCCGATACTCCTCCGCAGAAAGAAAGTGAGGGTCAAATCTGGTCCGTGGGCCAGTGATCAGAACTCGCAGCTTTATTTAATTTAGGCAGATCAGCATTTAAAAGAAGGATTCACACGTTAACTCCCTGTTTCCTGTGCAGTCTTTATAGAGCGATGAGAAGACTGTGCCTCATCTGTCAGCACATTTACATGCACATTAGAAATCACTTACTGTGAATAACATTACAACACAGACCATTTCCCACTATGAGATTTTTATCGGTTCCTTCAGCAGTCGAGTTAATTTCCTATCCAATCAAGTGCGTGGTCTTTCAGCTTGAGAGCAGGACATTGATTTCATATTAAGATCTTGCCTCTCACTCAAAACCCTGCGCTCGCACTCCAATACACTCTGCCGTTGCTTAGATTCCCAGCGCTGCAGCTTCAGCTTTTCTCGTGCTCACGCTGCTTCTGTTTGCAGGTGAAACACCTGCTCTCGGATTTCTCCTCTCAGATATTTTTGTGCAACAAGTCTGTCAAAATTCCCAATCCGATAGAACTGCAGGTGTAGTGACGACTAATGAAATTGCCCCACCCTCATTTTGGTTACATAAGCAGTTGCTGCCATTCTCAGGGCGGTGTCTATTTGGTTTTATCGTTGCTAGCAACATTGTTCCTACAACGTGAAAAACTTAAGGTCCTTTATTTTGCTGCTCCATGAAGCTGTGAAGGGCAGGAGTGCCTGAGCCCAGGAAAAGGAAACATCTTAGCAAACAAAATCCCACAAAGGCGACCATTCCAACAAATTATACATATGATGGATACATATCAATAATTTAGAAAATGTACTTCAGCTCTGTTATGCTCGTCCCATTTTTACCTTTGACTTTCAAGGCTGCACCATTCACAGGACAGATTAGTGTGTATGTCAATGTACTGACTCCTCTGCATTGTGCTGTTTTACTACACATTCCCTTTTGTGACTCGCATCCAACACGGAACCGCTTCACGAAATTAACACCAGTGCTGCTTCGGATGACGCAAGCCGAACAGGTTTATGGCAAGAGCAGCCATCGAAGGTTGATGCGTGAGTCCATTCAGTGTCTCATCTGCATCACGAGGGACATTTTCCTTGAAGGCCAACTAGAGTAACTTAGAGTAACAAATAATGTCTGTACGGCGCTTAAAATGTTTTTGGTTCATTCCTTGCTTGTAAACCATTTTAGGGAAATGTTATTTTGTGTGTTTTCTGTTTTTGTCACACTGCTCCATTTCCAGTGTTTGAGTTTTGTGGTCTGTATTTATTGTTTCAAGCATAATAAGATATTGAAATGTATGTTATCTTACAGAGCACCATTGTAATATAGAAATTGGTTTATTTTCTATTAATTTAGATAAGTTTATAAAAACTATTTTATTTCCAGTGTTTTGTTCTGAACCTTTCTGCATTCATTTAGCCTCTATTTAGTTTGAGAAGTTTTTTCAGCCTTGTAAACACGACCACTACAAACTTGTTTCACTCCTGTCTTTATGTGTATGTGGGTGGCTGGGTGAGTTTTGTGGCTACGTGGCTAAGATTGTCTCCTATTGCAGTAGCTTGTTATCAGGTTTTAACCAGTGAATGTTCAAGGACCTCTATGCAATGCTTGCCTTTTGGTTTTATTCTGTGGCAGTTTGAACTGACGAGCACTTCGCTAAGAATGTATACTCACGATATCCACTGTCCTGCATGGATGTACTGTATAAACAGACAACAGAATCTCATATTATCTTTTTTTTCCTCATTTTGAATCTGGGATTAAGGAGGAAACAATTTCACAATTATAGTTTTCGCTCTCAAACTTTTCCGTTTCTCTTCTCTTGTGTAAACTTAATACGTAGCGTCGATAACAAAGCGATCGCTGATAGAATCAGTCATTTCCAATTGAAATAGAAAGGACAAACCTTATTTCTTTCATTATCCCATTGGATTATCATTGTATCTCCAGACCTGTGTTGGAGACGGAGGCTCATTGAACATGTGAAGGAACCAAAGATGCTTCCTCTTTTTGTCTTTTGCAGTACTTTTATCTTGCTGTGTATATTTTGATCCTTGTTAAATAAAAGATGTAATAGTGTATAAGAAATGTTGACTCATTTAAAAAGAAACAAAATGTAACCTGCTGAAGTGACTTTCTTCAGCTTTTTTTAATCCTGAAACATGCTCACCGCTGGAGGAAGATTTCCTTTGCTCCGACTGAGCTGTGAAAATAACTGAGCACCTGTGAGAATGGAACTTGTAGTTTATGAAAACAGTCACGTGTGTAGGAGGAAATTAGAAGTCACAGAGAAAAATGCTTGAGTTGCAAAGCTTTTGTCTCTCCTGCAAATACAACGCAACAGTTGCAACATCTCAAACTCTACATTACTGCTGCACAAATCCTATGTTACCAATCACAACTAAGAAACTCCACAGTTCCTGCAGCAAATATGTTGCAAAACACATTCACACACCTAAAACAAAGAAAGGGAAATTCTCTGTCACCTCTTCTGCATTTTATTTGAGGCAGTTGCTCTCTCCTTACCCTTCCTGACTGAGTCTACTCTAGTGTTGTGTTCTGCTTGTGTCCTTGTCACTACTGGTAGCATGAGGCGGTACCTGCAGCTTAATCAGGTTGCACAGGTAGTCCAGCTCCTCCATGGAAGGCACATCCATACTAATGCGTTAGCTGTGTCTCCCAGCACAATCTCAAGAGCGTGGAGGAGATACCTGGAGACCGGGCACATGTGATAGAGTCTGGAGAAGCTGTGGTGAACGTTCTGCAGCCTGCAATACAAATATAGAAGTTATTTCAATCCCCTGACTGTGGAATGCATAAAATATAATGTATAACAT